GTGTGTGTGAGTGAGTGAGTGTGTGTGTATGTGTGTGTGTGTGTGTGTGTGTGTTTCTCAGATACTGTACTTCCTTCTGCTCAGCTTTCTTATTTTCTATCCCTGTGGGATTGGATAATCTTCCAGGCAAGTCTCAAGGAGGCAGTTGGAGTAGGAGGGCACAGAATTCAGCTCTCTCCAGTAAGGAAGGGGAGCATGACTGAGGGGTGGTCCTAAAATGGTGACTGCTGCCAAGTGCCCACACCTAAGTGTCAGGCCCCCAGATGCCCTGGCTTTGCACTGAAGGGTGCGATGGCAGCCATGCCCCGATAACCCCATCTATGTGGCATTTACAGTGCAAAAGTGCTTATCTCACAAAATCCTTACAACAGCTCTATAAAGCAGTATGGCCATCCCTATTTTAGATGACAAAACCAAGGCTTAGTGAGATGAAGTCACCTATCCAGGTGACATAAATAGAGAGTGCTGGCAATGTGACTGCAAAATTTGAGTTCTTAATCATCTGAAGCAGTCTCCATTCTAAGGTTCTGTCTGAACTCATTATCTACTTATATCCAATTTCTTCAAATGTACAAATTCTTCTTAAGCTGCGGCATCTTTTTTTTTTAATATTTATTTTTGAGAGAGAGAGAGAGACAGAGAGACAGAGAGAGACAGAGTGTGAGCAGGGAAGGGGCAGAGAGAGAGGGAGACACAGAATCTGAAGCAAGCTCCAGGCTCTGAGCTGTCAGTGCAGAGCCCGACGTGGGGCTCAAACTCATGAGCTGTGAGATTATGACCTGAGCCAGTCAGCTGCCCAACTGACTGAGCCACCCAGGTGCCCCTGCAGCATCTTTTTTTTTTTTTTAACTTTTTTTTAAATGTTTGTTTATTTTTGAGAGACAGAGAATGAGCAGGGGAGGGGCAGAAGGAGAGGGAGACACAGAATCTGAAGCAGGCTCCAGGCTCTGAGAGTCAGCACAGAGCCTGACATGGGGCTTGAACCCACAAACTGTGAGATCATGACCTGAGCCGAAGTCAGACTCAACCGACTGAGCCACCTAGGCACCCCCAAGCTGCAGCATCTTAAAGAGGGGCAACAATATTAAGAGCTTGCAGCTCCTATATGACTACACACTCTTCTTACACATCTTACGAGAGAGAGAGAGAGAGAGAGAGAGAGAGAGAGAGAGAGAGAATCTTAAGCAGGCTTCACATTCAGGAAGGAGTCCGATGTGGGGCTCAATCCCACAACTCTAGGATCATGACCTGAACCAAAATCAAGAGTCATATTCTCAACCGACCAAGCCACCCAGGCTCCTCACATCTTAATATTCTTAATTTCCATTTTCCTGCAATGGTATCACATGCTTCTCTTATGCCTCCATGACTTACACATACTCACACAGACAAAACTCTTTATTCTCCGTGCTGGTAAATTTTAAAAAAATCATCACTTTTTAAAATTTTATTTTATTTTAAAGAGAGAGAGAGAGAGAGAGAGAGAGAATGTGAGCAGGGGAGAGGGGCAGAGGGAGACAGATAGAGAGGGAGAGAGAATCTTAAGAATCTCCACACTCAGGATGGAGCCTGATATGGACTCAATCCCATGATCCTGGGATCATGACCTGAGCCAAAATCAAGAGTCGGATGCTCAACTGACTGAACCATCTAGGTACCCCAAAAAGTCTTTATTAATGAGTTTTATGGGTTGTATAAAATATAACTGGAGTGTTTTTATAATTCAGATGTTCCCAATCTATAGGAACTAGAAATAAAAAGAAGCTGAGGTTAGCCCCTCTACAGTAACAAGAAATGCCTTGAACACTGCAGGAGAAAAGACCCTGTCTTGTACTGAAAATGTGGTCAGGCTTATGCCCCAGCTCTGTAGGCATCATATGGGCAAGTGACTCCATGGGCATCACTTCTTCATCTGTACAGGGGAGTTGGATGAGTTGACCCTAAAATTCCACTGACCTTTTGAGATTCTCTAAACCCTATTCCTTTCCTGCTGAGGACTTGAACTTTTTATAATCACTTTCCTGGGGTTTCCGTGAGTGCTTCAAATGGGTTTTCTGGCAGGAGTAGCTGGGAGATTTGAGAAAAATTATAAGAGAACTCTGCAGGCTGGGAGAAGCAATGACCATGAGATTGTCCCTTCTTTCTTTGATGTAAGTTTCACAGAGTTGATGGCTGCCACAGGAACAGGGCTAAAGGTTTATAGAGTCTTTGTTTCGGCCAAATCAACAACAAAGCATGGTTCCTATGGGTTTTGGGACCTGGAAATCCCTTTGACACACACATCCCTGTGCTGGAAATTATAACACGGGGCTCTGGTTCAGGAATAGGTTCCCCAGGCCTGTCAGATGGTCCTAGGAACAGTGCTTGCTGATTTGGGTTCAGTGAATTCTATTAAATACCCCCACCCCCGGTTTTTGTGTTTGCTGGTTCTTTTCAGAGGAGCAGCCACTTGGGGTAAAACAAACTATTTCTGGTACTGAGTGACCTAGCTTTTAATGTGATTTTAACATGGCTTCACAGGATATTTGCATTTTTGTGATTTTTTTCCCCTTCTAAGACTGCTTACCAGTAAAGGCTGGAAAACGGGAAGTGAAAGAACAACATTCTTGGGATGTAGATGATAAAATGATTAGAAAGGGGACAAGAGAATAAGTAGAAAATTGGGAATGAAAATTTCTGGAGAAGTGGTTGGATGAAATAAGAAATGTATTACTAGAAGGAACTCCAGGCCAGAAAAAACGTCAAAAAGATGTTAAGGGAAACTCAGAGGCTAAGTCTCTAAGGCTCAATCAAAGGCAGCGTTCCTAAAAGTAGTTTAGAAAGGTTGACATCTTTAAGTGACACCTCCCACCCCTCCCCACATTGCCCCAAGAGAAGGTTGTTATAAAGAAGAGCCATCTGAAATTCATTATTTTATCTATTCAGGGATGATGTATCTCTCCTAGTAGGGTGTAACAAAGGAAAAGGCATGCTTCTTCTCTAAATCATCTGTCTGATTTTTCTTATAAATACCGTGAAACTTATCATGGATCATGACTGTTTCTTTCTTTTGGTCACTAAGAATTCTCAGAACAAAATTTAGTCACTGTAAAGACTGGATAGTACACACTTGATTATGTTTTACTTTTTCCTATCCTATTTCTCTTTTCCCTTAATATCATCAATTATTTATATTTATTCACTTTTTATTGTTTATTTATTTATTTTGAGAGAGAGAAAGAGCCGGGGGGGGGGTAGAGAGAGAGGAAAAGAGAGAGAGGGAATCCCAAACAGGTTCCTTGCTGTCAGTACAGAGCCCAACATGGGGCTTGATCCCACAAACCATGAGATAATGACTTGAACCAAAAGCAAGAGTCAGATGCTTAACTGACTGAGCCACCCAGGTGCCCTTATATATATTTATTCTTATAAGCATCTACAAAATCTTTTGTGAAAGGAGTTTAGTATATACCTAGATACCTATAAACACAGATAGGCAAGTAAAGGCAGATATAGATTAAGGACTTAAATGGCTATGAGATGCTTCCTGTGCAGACATGTGTTTATTTATCAACGGTCCCCTCTCTGCATATACATTGCTACTAATGTTGGCAACAGTTAGTGAGAAAACTTTCAAATAATCTTTGATTTGAGATAATTAAAAAACAAAAAACAACTGGTAGAAGCTACTTGTGAGACATTTGAGCTTTAGGGCCCAGACACTGTGGTAAGATTATTCTTTGAGCACTTGGGTCCTTTGGAGGAATCTGGAATACAGGTTTATCTCCTTAAAACATAACAGCATTAGAGATTCAGGCACAAAGCATTCATTTCTATGTTCACAACAGATTCTAAGGATTTAGCTCTATAAATCCAAAGAAATTATTTTCTGAAAACACTGTTGCCCTTCCCAGTATAGGCTCACACACACAGAGACAACCAGAAAAGGCTTTGCAAAACAAACTACAAGGTCTTATAAATGCACACAATTGTGCATAAGGACTCAAAGACAACTGCAAGGTATGACTCATGAATACTGACTACAGATAAAATCTTTCATGGCAAAGATGTCAAAGCCAGTAGACAGGTTTTAGATGGCGCTAGAGGATTCCTCTAGCTGGACCAGGCTCTGCCATTTGAGTTAGACTTTCCCATGAACAAATGGCCTTGAAGAGGCATAATATATGCCCCAAGACCACTGATTTCTGAACTTGTCATGTAGTTGTGGGTACACATGTCTAGGTAGGCAGCAATGGCTGTAGATAAACAAGCAATTGGAACAACTGAACAGTTTTAAAGCTACAGATGCCACCTTGCAGAACCGTGTTTCTGGAAGTGAGATCTCTCTCTTTTAAAAATGTTTATTTATTTTTGAGAGAGAGGGAGAGAGCAAGTGAGCAGGGGAGGGGCAGAGAGCAAGGGAGACAGAGGATCCCAAGCAGGCTCCAGGCTCTGAGTTGTCAGCACAGAGCCTATGTGGGACTTGAACCCACGGACCATGAGATCACTTCAGCCAAAATCAGACGCTTAACCAACTGAGCCACCCAGGCACCCAGAAATGAGATCTTTAAACAACCTGACTTACAATCACCCAGAGGCTTAGGGGAGCTCCTAAAAAGACTGATTTCAGGGTGTCACTCCAGCCCTAATAAATCAGTGTATTTGACTTAAAAATATATTAATGCTTGTCCCCGTGCTCCACCCCATGATCAATAACAATTATTTTTTACAGAAGCTATGAAATTAACAAATACCATGATTCTAATCCTAAAACTTTATTTGTTGAATTTTTAGAAATGACAGGATAGCTCTAGCTTATTCTTTTTAAAGAGATAACAGGTGGCAAGAAGTTAAATTACGAGCGGTAAGTCTAGAACAAAGCAGCCAAGTTAGAAAGGAAAATTCAAATTCAGAATTGGTAGAGTCGTGGTGGGGTTTTGTTAGGAGTCCACCTAACACCAAACTGAGATAGGAAAAAGGAAAAAAAATGAGCATCTCTCTTTTTACAGTGTAGAACTTACTGCCATCGGGCTTTATCCCTTAAGGAATTTTTCCTGGAGCTGTTTCCTTCACTGGGGCTGTCCTCCTCCTCGGCCTCCAGACTTCGGCTGCAGCTCCTGATGATCTGAAAGATGCTGTTGACTGTGGACTCCTTCTCCGAATTCTTTAAGCCATTATGTCCCACTCGTTGTAAGAAATTATCTTGTCCACTGTAATCGGCTACAAACTACAGAAAAACATACCAAGAATTTGTTACTGCAACTTCATGTACTGTGTCTTAAATAAAAGACTTGGGTAGGGAAATAAAAGCACAACAGCCATAAATAATGGCACTTATGCCTATTTCTTATTGAAAGAAAAAGAAAGAGCCTCCAGGAAAAACATTTTTTCGTTTCACCACATGAGCTATCGGAACTCACTCTTGTTTCCACTAAGACAATTTTAGTTCCTGTAGGAATCGACGCTCCGTTTCAAATTTACAACACAAAAAGCAGCATTATTTCAAGGCTCCCGAGGGAGAAGATTAGCCCTACTTTGCCGAGGAAGGGTAGGGTTGTTTTCTCCTGGCAGAGAGAATTGAGAAAAACCATGACAGAAGTCCATTCTTCTATGGAACCAGATAACATTCCTGGGGCCCAAGGGAAACACAGAGAAACAATGATGTTTGCTATATTTCCCATATATCCTATGGCAGCACAGAGGTTTCCTGGAGGTTTTAAAGCTCTTATACTTTGTATTCATGATCAGGAAGTTTCTCCCATCAGAGGTAAGCGCTCCAGCTGCACCACTGGATGTGGCATCCTCTGCGTCTAAGACATCCTCTGCGTCTAAGCTGGTGTGGGTGTGCTAGGGAGGGCTTGTGTTAAGCTTACTCCTCCATTTACTGCACTTTCATCTTCCCTCATAAGCCAGAGAGATGCAAGCTGGTAGTGTTACCTGTGCCTGTCAGGGGCTCTTAAGTCTCCCTGATACCAGGTGATGCCTGGTTCCCAGGTGACACAGAGGAGGCTGAAGTTTTAGGAGTCTTCTCACGGCCACCGAGAAGGGGTGTATGTGAGTGTGTGTGTGTGTGTGTGTGTGTGTGTGTGTGTGTGTGTGTGTGAAAGGTCAGTAGTGTTGCTGTTGCCATGGTGACAATGATCCTAGATTTGGGTTTGAAACTGCCAGCTATGGACTCCTCAAAATTCTTGGTAAAGTTCTCCCAATTCAGTCTCTTCTTTCATTTCTAAACACCATCTAGGGAGGCTTCCTTATTTTCTTCAAGTTTCTCCGAGCCCTTTCTCTCCAATGCCCCATACCCTGAGTCAAAGCTCACAAGGTCCTCTCCCCTCTGGGAGTCAGGAACAAGAAGCCACGGGCCTGGGAGAGCCGAGACAGCCGTGATCAGAGCCTGGAGCTCGTCTTTACATGAGACACCAGCTTCTCCAGGGTCCTCCCGCAGAGGAGGAAAGCAACGCAGCGTTGACCTCCCGCCATGTTTTCTTTCTCTGATTCAGAAAACTTACTACTCTTGCTTGACTTCTCTTATCCTCTGCATACAGACATTCCCACCCAATGAGAGAAGAAAACCCCATCATCCCTTAAAAAAAAAAAATCAGAGAACAGCACCCATTTTCACTGGTACTTACACACTGCTCCATTCAAGCTAATTTAACAAGAAGAAGCCCCAAACAGTGCTAGCCAGCATTTTTTTCTCAGGAATTTCCAAGGACCTGTTACCCAGCACAACAGTGACAACGGATTAGCCTAGGCTCCGCAGGTTCTTTCTTGGCCTTAGTGAGTGAGGAGCCAGGCAGCAATGAAGACTTCAGATTTTGAAAGGACTCACCTCTAGAGTTTCTTCTTGGGAATTGTACCTCGGGCAAAGCTTCATGAGGCCGGAGGCTCCGTCCAGTACTTCACAGAGCTCCTTCAGAAACACCCCACAGAACGGAACCACCTTACAGCCAGGTATGTGCAGAGCCCGCGTGACCACCTTCTTGTACTCGCAGGAAGATTCGTGCTGAGCCATGGCATCCTTCAGGCTCCTCATGGTCTCTAGGTCAGACTGGTCCATAAACTGCCACATTTTTAAAACTTTTCTTGACCTATTGTAAGTAAATGATGTTTTTTGAGACTGAAGGAGAAATAATATCGTTTGTAGTATATAGCCCAAGCTCCATGCAAATTTATTCTTTTTGCCTCAGTTTTCACTGTTTCGATATTTATTTAGGACTCCTATCTCCACCCACCTACTTCCCCAAATGAGGTATTACTTTTAATTAAAAATTGAAACACAAAATTAAATAGGACAGATACAAATAACACATGTTATTTGTGGAAGGAGTTAATTTTGGAAGGTGGGCATAAAACTAGGTTTGAATTTTTCTGGCAGCTATAGCCGAAAGGGAAACCTAGTGGGTCATATGGTTTGTACAGATATTTATGGAGGACTATCTGCAGAAAATATGGTGCGTCCACTCCTCTTGATATTTAAAATGTTATCCTTGGATTAGGCCAGTTTCTCAGTAAAATACATGAAATCTGTTTTGGTCTCTTTTATAGAACTGCTTTTACTAAATCCAGCTTTGACGTTAAGCCACGGGTTATCCTAAGGGACATGATCTTAAAATACTATTTGCATAACAGGATGTTAGATGGGACTTTTCCTATGATGAACTTGCTGCTGACAACAACAGGTGACATTGTACCCCACTTCCTAAAGAGAGGCACCAGCTCATCACAAGGGTACCCCAACAGCTTTGCCCTCTGTGGTATATAACCGTCCATCATGCCATGCAGAATTGGCTCTGAGCAGCCAGGTAGGGAATATTTCTTTGGATAGAGTTGTCAGAGCCCTCTATATGTGAGAAGGAGGAGGACCATCCCAGGGCAGGGGCTTCAAGTGAACTCCATGGAGAGGCTGACCTTTGTCCTGAGTTTGTTGATCACTTAGCCTGGTGTGTGACTCCTGCCTGGAAAAGTCTAAAGATGACAGGCTGCGTAGGGCTGCCCAAAGGTTCCCGTGGGCCTGTCCTGCATTTGCAGAATCTGGGAGGGCAAAACACTGTGTGTTTCCTGTGAGTCTGTAAGGGCCACCGTGAGGGGCAGTTCCACGTGTCCACGTGGCTGCCCAAGGAGGAATCCCAGCAGAAAGAGTCTGCGAGGACAGGGTTTCCAGAGCTGGATCCTGGGGACTGAGTGCGCCTTGCTCCTCGCTGGCTAATGGTGCAGTGAGAGGTACCTACAGGGCAGCAGGTGGGGGAATGTAGGAGGAGTGACTGGGGAGGAACCCTAAAAGCACACCTGTCTTTGGGAGCACCTAGGCCAGATTATAACTGTCCCCATCAAGGGAGACCTTTGCTTCCTTTACCCCATCTCCCTTCCTCTTTCTTCTCCTGTCCACTTTTTCTGCAAGGACCCCGAGCTGGAGTGAGAAAAGATAAACCCTGTTCTCTTGCTCCACTGCAGGTTTCTGAGATTTGTTGGGCTGCGAAATGTGGGGAAAAGGTGATGCTTTAAACCAAAGGTGAGGTTGAAATTTTGATTTATATCAGACTGGATTAAAAAATCACTATGTCCAAGAGAAGACATTCAAAGGACATAGAGAAGTACAACATGACAAACCCCATGCACCAACCTCTCCATTTAAAAAATAAAACATTGGGCTCAGCTCAGGTCATGATCTCACAGTTCATGAGTCCTAACCTGACATCGGGCACTCTGCTTTAAGCACAGAGCCTGCTTTGGATTCGGTGTCTCCCTCTCTCTCTGCCCCTCCCCTGCTCACTCTCTCTCTCTCAAAAGTAAACATTAAAAACAAAACATTAATAATGTGGTTGAGACCTCAGTGGGCTCCTCCAGGAACACACACTCCTCTTTCCCTCACCAAAAGGGACCACAAAGGGGACCAGTGTTCTCGTTCCCTTACAATTGTGTATGCTTCCCCAACATAGGTATAGATCACCCAGCAGTTTGTAGGGATGTGTGAGTGCTTTTAAACTTTATATAAATGGTGTCACACATTAGGTACTGAGGCATCCTGCTTTTCTTGCACAGCTGTGTGTTTCTGAGATTTATTCATGCTCATGAGCAAAGGAGAATGAGACAAGTTATTGACCCCATCAGTGACCGGGAAAGCTATAGGACCTCCCAAGGTATGACCCAGAGCAGGGGGCAGGGAAAGTCAGTCAGGCAGGTTTGAATGACAGTGAGGTCAGGAAACTAAAATTGTTTCCTGATTTCACCCCACTGAGTCCAGCCTGCCCTATACCTGGTTTCTTTCTTTCTTTTTTTTTTTTTTATTTATATATGAAATTTATTGTCAAATTAGTTTCCATACAACACCCAGTGCTCATCCCAAAAGGTGCCTTCCTCAATACCCATCACCCACCCTCTCCTCCCTCCCACCCCCCATCAACCCTCAGTTTGCTCTCAGTTCTCAACAGTCTCTTATGCTTTGGCTCTCTCCCACTCTAACCTCTTTTTTTTTTTTTTTCCTTCCCCTCCCCCATGGGTTCCTGTTAAGTTTCTCAGGATCCACATAAGAGTGAAACCATATGGTATCTGTCTTTCTCTGTATGGCTTATTTCACTTAGCATCACACTCTCCAGTTCCATCCACGTTGCTACAAAAGGCCATATTTCATTTTTTCTCATTGCCACGTAGTATTCCATAGTGTATATAAACCACAATTTCTTTATCCATTCATCAGTTGATGGACATTTAGGCTCTTTCCATAATTTGGCTATTGTTGAGAGTGCTGCTATGAACATTGGTTTCTTATAAGGTGGTAAGAATCCCTTTTGGGGCATGAAATGGAAGTGTGAATAAACTAAGTGAATAAATGAGTGAGACACAGTTCTCATTATATTTAATCGCCCTTGTTTCTGTGAGTGACAGTAGTCACAGTACATTTGGGGGCACAAGACAAACCTCAGCAAGATCAATGGTTTTTTGTTAGATTGAGAACTGACACTGGTTTTAAAACTTTCTTTTTCTGTTTATAAAGGTACTAGATGCTTGTTGTAGAAAATCTGGAAAATACCAAAAATATAGAAAACCCACCCATAGTTCTACATCCACAGGCAACATTAGGTATATTTCCTTCCAGTATTTATTCTACTTGTAGATGTATGTTCTGAATGTTTTATAAATGTTGTTGTGTAAATATTGCTGAGGCTATTAAGTAAAGACAGCCTTGTTCCCAGATATTTTTATGCATTATATATTATGTGTTTTCCAATGATATCAAACATTTTTCAAAAACATTTTTGGTGGTTAAATAATATTCCATTGTAAGAATACATCATGTAATTTCATTCATTTCTCCACTGATATTCATTTGGGTTATTGTATTTTTCATTTTTATTTTTTAAACTTTATTTATGTATGTATGTATGTATGTATGTATGTATTTATTGCTCATGAGTGGGGGAGGGGCAGAGGGACAGAGAGAGGGAGAGAAAGAATCCCAAGTAGGCTCACTCCCTACTGTCAGCACAGGGCCCAATGTGGGGCTTGAACTCATGAACTGTGATATCATGACCTGAGCTGAAAATCAAGAGTCAGATGCTTAACCAACTAAGCCACCCAGGCACCCCTGGGTTATTTTAAATTGACACCATGATTGAGTAAATATTGTTATATGTAAATCTTTTTACTTCTAATTGTTTCTTCCAATCATCCACACCTCCCTGTGTAGCACAGACCCCACGCACAATCAACCAGTGCTAGTCTTATGTGACCAGTATAATGTAGTAAAGTGACAGCGTGTGACTTCTGAGGCTGGGTCATAAAAGGCACTGCAGCTTCTGCCTTGTTTTCTTGTCATTCACTTCGGAGCAAGCCAGCTGCCATGCTTTGAGGACAGTGATGTCCAGAAGAGAGGAAGTGAGGTCCCCAGCCAATAGCTGGCACCAATTTGCCAAACACAGAGGAGAAGTGTCATTAAAATAGAACTATGTTATCATAATGTAATCTTTTCTTTAAAGAAAAATACCAGAGGTTCTTTGTAGAAAACTTATCACAAAGAGAATCCAATCATCCAAATCACCTCCTGTTCTCCCAGTATTTTTTCTATTTTTTCCTTCTTTTGAGCCATGACTGATACATCTGTATGTATCATTTTGAATGCCAATGACACGGTCATTTGAGTTATTCTTAGTTAAGAAAGCTCAAAAGGACAAAAAAAATTCCAACTCTGAGAAATTTCCTTTTTCCCCCAACCACGAATCCCTTTGCAGGGATCTGGAGAATCAAAGAAAAATCCCGATAACGTTAGGGAGCAAGATCTATTTATAGTGAGAACCCTCACTGGGAAGGCGAATCTCAGACACTGAGAACAACAGGTTCGCTTTATGGGGCCTCACTGCATGCCAAACATGCATGCTAAACACTTCGTACTATCTCACTAAATCCTGGGTGAGGAAGTAGGTGCTTTTTATTATTATCATCCCCATTTTACAGATAAAGAAACTGGGGCTCAAGGAGGTCGAGCACCTTGCCCAGACCACACAGCTATTCCATGGGGGAGCCAGGATTTGATCCCATTGTTCTGACCCAACAACTCATGCTCTTCCTCACACCACATTGCCTCCATTAAGAGTGAGGGGCAGTTACTTTATGCCGGGTAACTGAGGCTTGAAAGGGAAAAAGGTAGAAGACTTTATTGATAAAATGGTGATCTTATTATTAGCTTAGTGGAGAAGGCATAAGAGCAAGATATCGGAGGTGAAGGGCAAGGACTCTCAAATCAAGGCTGCCTGCATTCACATCCCAGCCGTTCCAGATGGCCTGGGGTGAATGACTTAACTTCTAACTTTAGTTCCTTCTTTTGCAAGATGTAGGAATTTTAGTATCTACCAAGAAACTGTTATGAGAATTAAAATATTTAATGCATAGGAAATGTACAGCCCAGTGCCTGATATATAGTAAGTGTTCAATAAAAATAAGAACTACTTTTATTGAATGCTTATTATCAGTGTTAGCCACTCCCAGGCAGTGGCTGGGATGCTACAGTGCTGAGGCAATTCATAAGGCAGAGCTGCAAAGAGATAGATAACAGTGGGGTTTATAGGACACAGAGGGTAAGCAGCGGTCAGTGATGGGGCGGATGGAGTTATGCAAGCAGGAAATTTTACCCAGCTTGGCCAACAGATCAGAGCAGACAGTTAATTAGAAGCATGACTGGCCATAGGGGCTGAATTCTGCTACATCTTTGAGGGGCAAGGTTTGTGGTGTTAGCAAAGGATAATGTATTTCCTGCAAATAATCACTACTAAGTGCCTGGTTTGGGTAAATGTGGTTTCCAGGGCAATTAATTCAGTGCCATTCACCTCGTACCCAGATAACTGTATTCCCCACTCCCATACCTGAGGCCGGCCAAGAACTCCATGACAGCATTGTAGTTGCCCATGTTCCAGCAGCATTTGGCCACGTGTACTAAATAGGAGAAGACTTCTCGCTTCTCCTCCATGGAGCCCGCCGTGAGGATCAGCCACGTTACCCAGGAGCTCACCTAGAAAATGCAGAGAGGGGATCCACTGAACCTATGTCCTGAAAACTCAAGGAATATTTTTTTTCCACAGGAAAACTCTTTTTCTTTTCTTTCTTTCTTTTTTCTTTTAATTTTTAATGTTTATTTTTGAGAGAGAGAGTGTGTGTGTGAGCAAGGGAGGGGCAGAGAGAGAAGGAGACACAGAATTTGGAGCAGGCTTGAGATGTTAGCGCAGAGCCTGATGTGGGGCTCGAACTCACAAACCGCAAAATCATGACCTGAGCCAAAGTCAGTAGCTCAACAGACTGAGACACCTTGGCACCCCACTCTTTTTCTTTTTTTTTAAAATCAGTTTAGTACTGGGAAATGAAAGACCCAGCTGAGAGATCGGAGGTGAAGCTCTGGGTCTCCATCACTGCTTTGCTATGGGATTCTGGGAAAGTCACTTCACTTCTCCATATTCTTCATCTTTAAAGTAAGGAGGCTGAAAGGTAATTCATGAACTCCCTCTCGATCCATAAAATTCCATGAGACTATAAGAAAATAAAGCCCAAGGATAATATTGATTAAAATACATATAAATACATTTGACTGATGGGCAGCAAGATTAAATGCAATCAATGCACTTAGTCCATAAATAAAAGAATATTTATCAAGTAGTAAAATGCATGCTATCAAATGAAAAATGCAAAAAATATATATATTTAAACTATCTTTAATAAACCCCTTATCTATTATGCTGCTCAAATGACTAATAATGAACAGATACTTACATAGCACTTACCATGTGCCGGGTGCCGGGAATTATTCTAAGCACTTTACATATGTTAACTCACCTCTCACAACAGTCTGGAGTCAGGGATTATTATTATCCTCATTTTATAGATGAGGAAACTGAAGGGCAGAGGGCCTAAGAGATTTGTGCAAGTCTTCAACCCAAAGTGGTAAAGCCTGAATTTGAATTTAGGCATGTGGGCCACAGAGGTGGCACTATTAACCACTCACTAAATGCCTGATGTGTATACACGAGGTCTGGGATGAAAGTTATTCTAATGTGATTAGTTTTTTCTACGACACAGAGTAGAGTATAACATTTAATAATGAGCTACTTCTAAGCCCCCCCCCCCCCATGATATGCAGCCTCAATCCTCTGCTTAATCTCTAAGATTATTTTGCTGCTACCTATACGTTGGTGCTTGAATACTTGTGTTCATTTAAGTTACTTTCTCCCTCCTAGCTAATGTCTGGACTGATAAACTTAGTTGCTAACAAACCAAAGCCTTGGTCTTGACCCCACATGGCCCATTAGCTGCACTGGTTCAGTAACAGTGCTGACACCTGGGACCACCTCATTTCCCTGGCCTGAGGGAGAGGGAGGCCAGAACACCCGCTCATGGTGACCCACGACAACTACAACAAAAAAAAGAGTTTAAGGTCTACGGCATACTGCACTTCCCTCCCACCCCCACCGGCCCCATTGATAAAATGGTAGGAACGAATGACATTTAGTGCTGGCAGCAACCACAGAGGGCGGTCCAAACCCATTTTTCCAGATGAAGAATCTATGGCTCATGGGAGAAGTGATCTTCTGAGGTCACAGTTCTTGTTAATGTCAAAACTAGGACTCCCAGTGCGGTACTCTTTTATCTGATGAGGGATGACAGTTTCTTTAAACTTGGCACCGCTTAGGTTTTCCTAAGCACTTGCTTAAGAGCTGCATATTTGAACACAGAGTCAGACTAAAAGGAGAAGATACCAAGGAGAGTACCAAAAAAATAATTAAAGCAACGAAAAAAGGAGAACAGAAGAGAGAGATGCTGAACACCTCTTCCCCTTTCTTACACAGAAACAAAAAGCAAAACAGTGGCACCAGGGACCTTCATCGGTAAAACAGGGTCACACCGTGGGACCAGCCGGGAGTGTGATGCAGGATGTGAGGGACCACCTGCCACCCTGAGCCCCTGCCCCAGCCCTGCCCCAGCCCAGTGGGCCCCGAGCACGCACCTCTGCTCTCAGCCTGCTCTGGACTTCGTGCAACATCAGGAGAACAGATCTGGAATCAGACTCCTAGGACAAGCCTGGGTCCAGATCATCCTGCAAGGAATTCAGAGCCTCTTGGGAAGAGGAGAACCTAAGATGGCCATTTGTTCTGATCTCCCGGGGCTGTTTTGAGCACACAGGAGCCTTCTCGAGTCCCAGATCCATCCTTTCTCCTGCGGCTATAAGCGATTCCTTGCTCACTGTCTCTATGCCTTGTGCCCTCATCACCTGGTTACCCAGTGAAAAGTCACCTTTGTGAAACCCTGACTCTCCAGAGCAAGAAACTGTTTTGTCAATACTGACTGAGTGTCATGGGTGTTCTGTGTAGTTTTTCCTTTCATGTGATTTGCCTTTAATGAGCCCTATCCTGCTCTGGGGAACTGTGAGCAAACACTTAGAGTCATAATTATTGACTCTTTGAGCTAGAAATTCACACTCATCTTCTTACAAATGAAAATAAATCCCCAAAAGTTAAAAGCGTTTCCCAAAGACACCTGATGCATTAGGTCTTGAGCCCTCTGGCTATATTCTTCTTGTGGCTGTAGTTCCTTTTTTACTGAAACTGATTGCCAATCAGCAGCTCTGGAGAGTCACTGCTCTTTTAGGCTATTCTGGTCCCACACAGTGACTTACTAGTCTAGTGATCTGAAAGGGTTAATCCATCTTCCCTTGGAGAGGCCAGCTTCACAGAGCAGACGCAGACCACCACGTGGTTGGTGCCTCCATCCTGATCATGCATCCAGATTTATTTCCTATCAGTCAAATCATTTTCCATATACTTTCCCACAATGTTAGGAAAAAAATAGCGATACAGTATTTCACATGGAAACCTAATTTAAACCAGCCGTTCCATCTCCAAGTGTGAGTCCCCAGGGCCTGGTTGTTGAGATTATGTAAGCACTGTTATCATAAACACACACACAAACATACACACACACGCGCACACACACACACACACACCATCTGCGTACAGACTTCAGGGACAAAAAAAAAGTCTTATTGCGGACTGATGTATTTATAATTTTATAGGCACTAAGTGATGTGACTTTCATCACTAATTATGAAAAACGAATGTCACAAAAAACCCCATAAGGATCTGGCAATGACTGAAAAATGTTGCCCAAGGCATAAACGGTGGTTGTATTTATTAAGTGGAAAATGGGATGTGTTGCCAATCCAGAAAGAATTTCAGGACTGGAATAACACAGAAAAACACAAAAACTGCACATATAGAGAGTACTAAAACTCAAGTGTAGAGTAGAAAGGTGTTAAATGTGGCAGATTACTTTGCCCTATTTGAATGGTTAGCACAGAATAAAGACAGAATCTGGCCCCCGCCTAATTCCCTAAGAGTCCCTCCCAGAGGCTCTGTGATTACCCTGAGGGCCTGACCCTGGGTACAGGTCTACAAACTCCACAACTGCTCCTCTCCAGACACTTCTTTTCTGCCTCTTTTGCTTTTGTCAGTACTCTCAGGCCTAGCCAAACTCAACAGCTTGCTCTCCTCACATCAAACACCTTGTTGGCATCACACAAGCTCAGTCTGGAAGGAATGCTTTTGTTCCATTCATAAATTACCTTTCCCTGGCCCCCACCATGTCCTGCCCGTGTCCTTTGTGAAGCCAAATCCTTACCTTGGCCACCAGGCCCCCATCAGTTCTGCAACCTCACCTTCGACCTTTCTCCACACTCCTGCTTTTAGGGAGATGACCAAGGCCTTTTCTCATTTCAGGGGTCTTCTATGGGATGGGTCTCCATGGCCCCCAGACTTTGATTAGGTAAAACTGCCCTCAGGACCTGCCCTGGGTCCCATGCTTTAGAAGGCCTGTGATGGGGTGGAGGGAATGGGTCTGCCCAGTGGCTGTGCACTCACTTCCAGATCATTCATCCCTGAAGACTCAGGACTCCCAAGTCCCCTGTCTAAACAGCTCAAGCCCACTTCTGGGCCTGCAAGAGCCTGGTATCTGGATCAGTCCTTCTGTAGGGAGATCATAACTCCAGGCCCAAAGGCTGGCAGAGGGCCTGTGGGGGTGTGGTGTGTGGATGGAGTTTGAACTGGAGGTCTGAAGTGTCCACACCCAGGCACACAAGCCAGGATGGAAAGAGAAGGTGGGAAGGCCACAGGCTGGGGCCTTCTTTTTGCTTTGTCCTTTGTACTTCATCTTGGCTCCCCTAAGGTCAGGGGCAGGGCTGCCTTTAGGAATCTGATGAAAACACCACTTCCTTGAAGAGGACTGCTCTGATTTCCCATCTGGGCTGGGTGATGTGCTGGGCTATGTGGGGCCCCCAGTCTCCTTGACCCCAGACTCCCTGCACAGTCAGCACTGTGTTCCCCCAAAAGCAGACCCTGGGTCTGCCATGCCCACCAGTAGCAGTGCCCACAGTAAGTGCTCCATGAGACATGGCAAAGGAGTAAATGTGACCTCTTCTAGAAAGGTTTTTCTGATGCTCACCTAGCAACTCACATTCAACTTCTTCCTGTGACTTGATGGTGGACCCTGAGACCAAGCTCACATCTGCACTGGGATTCTCACTGCTGCAAGGATTTGCATCTGCTTTATTTTTATTGTATTTGTGTGTCTGACTCTTTCACATGGGTCTGTTCTGTCTCCCCCACTAGACCTTACGTCCTCAAGGACTAAGAGCATCTTTCCCACATCTCCAGTGTGGGGGTGCTTGGTGCCTCTGACCGACAGGCAGGCCACCCAGGGTCCCAGGAGGCCGCTGGCAGAGAGGATTCTCAGCCTCCAATTGGTCAGGGATTATATTTGGGAAAAGGCCTGAACACTTCCTACTGCTGTTCCCAGGTCCAGAAAAAAGAGACAAATGTCTTTGTGCCAAAAAGTTTTTTTTTTTTTTTTAATAAGCTGAGCAATGTTCATAGAAAGATGATCCTTTGTAGTGGGTATCTGGTCCCCCTAACTGCAGGGGCTGGGCTCGAATGGTGAGATCTAAAGAAGACAGTGAAAACCCAGACAAAG